GCCTCTGTTTACATGGATGCTCACTGAAGTCAAGCAATTTCTAGCACCTCCTTTGCTGTCATCCATGTTCAGCATCAGAGCTAAGGAACAGCTGTTGTCAACAGAGGCTGTCTTTCCTCCAAGAGACGCTTCAAGGTACTGAACAGGAAGGTGTAAATACATCTATCCCCTGCCATTTGTAGTTGTACTGGCCTCATGTGTGCGTAGGAGAGAGACAGATGGTCCCTGACATTGCACAGGCTTCCAAGGATGTATATTTGTAGAAATAAGAGGGCAGATGTTAAATATGGTAGAGACACATTCTGTCCCCTGAAGGGTTAAGCTGAAGCTTCTATCTCAAATTGGATGTCTGAAAGTTGAGGCCTAGGCAATCTCTAGCAACCTCTGCTATAGAATTATAACATTTTGTAGCTATTTTATGCCGTTAGGCAGAACACCAAGAAGGAAAAATGAAAGCTAGACTAATCTAAGAAAACAATTTTATTAGATACATATTATCAACAATATTTGAGATCGTCATAGAATATACATGCCTGAAATGGGTAAAAACTGTCTTCTTTCTAAATCACCCATGGGACACACTCCTTGCCAACTACATTTTAAAAGCACCAGGAAAGCCATGGCTAACTTAGAATTTCCAAAATGAAGAGACCTGGAAAAAGAAGACTTTCTTTAAACTTTCCCAGGAAATAAAACAAAATGGGGCCTAAACAGTTAAGGCCAAATAGCAAGCTGCAGTGCTGAAAATTAGTCACAGCTTTGAAATGTTTCAATAAAATAAATGCATATAGTCTATAAAGGCTAACTGGATGAAATTTAAAGGAAAGGAGTAATATCTGGCATTTTCTTCAAAACAGCATATGACAACATTAGAAACTGAAAAATATATTTTCAACCTTTTCCTTTTGTTGGTGGAGCTGGGACTGAACTAAGGGCCTTGCACATGCTAGACGAGCCCACCACCAACCCAGACTCCCAACTACTATCTCTCATTTGGAAAGAGGGTCTAACCAAACTGCCTTGGCTAGCCTTGAACCTGAGATCCTCCTACATCTGCTTCCCTAGTAGCTAGGATTATGATTACAAGCCTGTACCACCAAGCCAGGCCAGAAATATATTTCCTTTTTACAAATCAAATATTATTCCTGACAAGGCAAAACACGTATTTTAATGAAACCTCAGGTGTTAAATTTTAAGAAAAAGATCATATTCTGAAAACTATGAGCAAATCTTTAAGTGGACTATAATGAAAGGATAAGAAAAAAAATCACAAAAGCAAATTTCTGAGAATAATCAGTAAACATTTCAGAAAGTGTCGAGAGGACAGAAGGGAGAGGAGAGGAGAGAAGACAAGAGGGGGAAGGAAAGAGGAAAGGAGAGAGACAGAGACAGAGAGAGAACAGAATGTGTCTTAAGTGTATTAAACCTTGCAGCCCAATAATGGTCAACCATAAGTTGCAACCAAGGTGTTTAACAGTCGTTATGCCATGCATTACTATGAAGGAAATAAAAGACTAGTAGATGGGAGGATTAAAGGATAATTTTTGTTACCTTAGAACTGTGTTACAAGGAGAGAACTCATTACAGACAACAATTATTTGTAACCTTAAAAAAAGCACAATAAACTGGGCGTGGTGGCACATGCCTTTAATCTCAGCACTTGGGAGGCAGAGGCAGACATCCTCTGTGAGTTCGAGGCTAGCCTGGTCTACATAGTGAGTTCAGGTCAGCTGGGGCTACAGGGAGACCTTGTCTCAAAAAGACAAAAAAAAAAAAAAATTTAGAACCAAGTGCTCATTTTGAGACAAGTGTAAATTATTCTGTCTAAATGCTTGAATACAACACATTTTAAAAGGAACTTAAGACCATAACAGAAATAAGATGTCTTGAATATGGATGAGATACAAAGCCTGTTTGAAAAATGTTACAAGTATCATGTACTAATGTTTTCAAAGCACATAAAACTACTCACAGCAATCATTAATAATTGCTAAACTGTATGTAATGACACAGGACTGGGGCTGAAGCTCAGTGGTAGAGGGCTTGCCTAGCTTGCATGAAGGCCTATGTCCAGTGCCAAGCACTGTGGTGACAATAATAGTAACAATAATGGCAAAGGACACAGCATCTATGCTCTACAAATCTGAGATTTTTGAGCAAGTTTTTTAAAAGACAAGGAAATAGAGAAGGTATCTAAGTTCATAAATTTGTAGCACAGGAGGCTATTGGAAGATCAACAGCTTCTACACGCTTTACAGAGGAAAAAGGTGGCATGCAGGACAGAGAACGGGAGAGCACCAGTCTTTAGCTCCTTATCAAAAAATTTCAAATACAGATAAAGGGAAACTTGTGTCCCAAACCTTCCCATAAAGGGATTAAATTCTAACATCACGTGTCACTGTGAATCTAATAACACATCTATACCAATCTCGGAGTTGTGAGAGTCAGATCACTGATTCTTTGTACGAGACAGAACAGACCCTGTGCTAAAAACAAGAAACAAGCACATCATTAACAAACACCAGGATAAGCTCTCATGTCCCCAGGAAACTTCTGAACCATCTTCTTATATTCCCCTCACTCTGGAGGAACAATCAGATTAAAGAAACATTTCTAAAGATGCTTTCACTTACATACAGGAAAGTCAAACTAAAATTTTAAGTACTTTGTAGAACTGTACAATGCTGGAGTAAAATAACAGACTGACTTCAGTGGCTAAAAAAAAAAGTTTAAATTTCTGGTACAATACTAAGTACCATTTTTATTTGATATTGTATCCAGAGAATACATTGGCACAAAGTGAACAAAATTAGCTAATAGTAAATCATGGGCAAACCCCTTCACAAATCATGGCCACCGTGATTAAAATGCTTTAAACTAACAGTAGAGAAAGATAAAAAAAATTCTACTTAAAATTGCACTTCTACTGAATGTAAAGGGTTAAATTAAAGACACAGAGCAAACTGACTAAAGACACAGGTCCAGTGAACTATGATTTGGGATGTAGATCTTCAGTATTTCGTGTTTTGTTTCCCTTCATACATTACGAATTCATCCTGCACATACCCATGGGCCTACCTTTTACATAAACACCATGTCACTTAGATTAAGGGTCAATATCTAAGTTACAATGAAATCTCTAGCTGGGAACCTTGAGTATGTTTTCTGACAAAAGTGACTTCTATGAGCATGTTAACATTAGCACAATATTAGAAAATATTGAGGGGCTGGAGAGATGGCTCAGTGGTTAAGAGCACTGGCTGCTCTTATAGAGGATCAGGGATCCATTCCCAGCACCCACATGGTAACTAATAACTGTCCCTAACTCCATCTCCAGGGGATCTGACACCCTCTTCCTACCTCTGTGGGCACTGAACAGCACAGGTACACTTACATACTTGCAGACAATACACTCATACACATAAAATAAAAAATAAAATATTTAAATAATGCTGACATAGCAGCCAAATAATTTAATCTATTCCTTTCATTGGAAGGACCCTAAGGACTATTTGAGGCCAAGACAAGGCTTTGTCTAGATGACTTTAAAATACAATTTAATATACAATTTGTTCCATTTCTAATCAGGTTAAATACTGGAATTGTTCATTGAGGAAAACAAGCAATTTGGCTATAAAAATATGCATTTAATAGTCCCAAATGGATTTTCAGTGTTGTTATATAATGGAATATCTAATAATATCAGATATGTAGTAGTTCATTTATAGGAGTAACACGAATTAGTTTATATTCTTAACAGATAGAGAAAATTTTAAATAGCTAAATTGAGTACACATAAAAATAAAGAGTATTATTGAAAGTCTTTAAGAATCTTAGAAAAGGCGGCTGGAGAGATGGCTCAGCAGTTAAAAGCACTGGCTGCTCTTGCAGAGGACCTAGGTTTGGTTCCCAGCACCCACATGGCCACTAACAACTGTTCATAACTCTAGTTCCAGGGGATCTGATGCCCTCTTCTGGCATCTGTGGGCATTGCATGCACAGGTGCATTTACATGCATGCAGGCAAAACACTCATACACATAAAATAAAAATAATAATTTTTTTTGTTTGTCTTTTTGAGACAGGGTCTCCCTGTAGCCCCAGATGCCCTGGAACTCACTATGTAGACCAGGCTGCCCTTGAACTCACAGAGATCTGCCCTGCCTCTGCCTCCCAAGTGCTGGGACTACAGGCATGGGCCACCACACCCGGCGAAATAATAAAATATTTAAAAAAAAAAAAAAGAGAATGCTAGATAAAGGACTGGAGAGAGGGCTCAGAATTTAGGAGTTCTGGCTGCAGAGGGCCTGGGTTCAGGTCCCAGCACCCACATGGTGGTTAACAAATATCCACAAAACTCTAGTTCCAAAGGATTCAATATCCTTTTCTGGCCTCCACAGGCACTGCATGTATGAAGTGCACTTATATACATGCAGGTAAAGCACTCATACACATGAAAAGTCCCAATCTTAGAACACTGGTTTCAAACTACATACACTACGATGTTCAGACACCAATGACAGATTAGTAATGCAAACATGTTGATGTAAAACATCTAGATAGATGAACAATGAATTTCATAAACATTAGAAACATGGTTCTCATCTAAAACTCTCTCCTTAGTATTTGCATCTGTCCAAATGTAGGCATCAGGTTAAATGCCAATCATGTGGGCAAGAGCCAAGAAAATCAAACTGTACTATCAGGCAATGCCACAAAGCAACAGGCACAAGACTGAGTGGAGGAGGCTGGTTTCCATTAGCCAATACTAGTTTTCACAATTTCTCACTGCTTTGGTTTTTGCTATGGATGTGTGTGTACATGTCTGTGTGTGAGCATGTTTGTGCACATTCTGAACTTTGTACTAAGTTGCCTGCCATTAAGTCTCGTATGGGTTGGAAATGAAGAACATAACCAAAACCACACAAAGGGAAAGCACATTCATTTTTATATATTCCATGCCCTAAAGCAGCTGTGAAAACATCAAGCTTGAGGCCTTACCCTGTTCGCTTGGTGATGGTCCCCAAGGTCATTGGCTGTTTGATTTGTGCAAGAGGCATCACGACCATCAAACTGGGGAGGGGAGAGAGCCGGGGGTTGCCAGGATTGTTGTTGGTAAAATTATTGTAAGAATCTTGGCTGTTCAGTTTCCCTACAAAGAGAAAAACAAAAGAAAAACATCATCAATGAAAACATCTCTCAATCTGATAATCACTTCAAAAAGAAATCAAGGGCTGGTGAGATGGCTCAGCGAGTAAAGGCACTTGCCTGACAACCCCAGCTTGATCCCCAGAACCCACATGTGGAAGGAGAAAACTGACTTTTGCAAGGTGTCCTCTGACCTCAACCCACTCAAGTACACACACAAACACAAAGAAACAAATAATAATAAATAAAATTTTAAGATGTAATTTTTCAAAAAAGGAATCAAACACCAAATTGATGCCAGGCTAATTTGAGTTCAGGAACTGGAAGAAACCAAAGTGAGTACAGAGATTATAGTCTTAGGAATGGGGATGGATTGTCTTTTCACTCTGTATTTTATGTGTGTACATGTGCATGCATGTGCATGTAGAGGCTAGAAGATCAATGTGAGTGTCTTCCTCACTTGCTCTTCACCTTACTCTCTCAGACTAGGTTTCTGACTGAACCTGGAACTCACTGATTCAGCTAGGCTGGCTGGCCAATGAGCTCCAAGGATCTTCCAGTCTCAGCCTCCTCAACCTGGGATTACAGATGTGTACTACTGCACCTGGCTTTTTACATGGATGCTGGGGATTCGAACTCAAGTCCTCATGCTTGCTCACTAAGCACTTTACATCATGAGACTTCTCCTCACCTCCCAGGTTTCTTATGTTTTTAAAGGCAGTGTAGTTGGTTATCCAGCTTAGATGGGTCACTGCTCTGACAGAATTCACTCTTTTCAACTATACTTTATACATTTCTAAAAAGAAGCTACTTGGTCTTTTGAGGGGATTAATCTGAATCTTTTGATCAATTTGAGACATCCCAATGGCCCTCCATATCTAAACGATCCACAACCTATGGACCGAATGAACTGTAAAGCAAAAATGGTGGTAGGGAGGTAATACCACAAAGTTCCGAACTACAAAGCTTAAATTTGCCATGCACTGAGCACTATGCTGAATTGATGTCAATAAAATGATACATAGGCATATCCTGTGACAGTTCCTGTGTTTTACAGGTCTTCAGTTTCTCTCTGGCATCATTATGCATGCATTCTATTTGTATATTATGCAGTTAGGCCTAGAGACCCGATGGTTGCATCAATCCTCAAACTTACTATATAGCCCAGGCTGGTCTTGAACTTAGAACCCTCCTGTCCTTAGGTCTGCCAAATGCTGGGACTATGGGTATATGCCACTAGGGACAGATTTGTATCTTCTCTTTACTTTTCATTATTCCATAAACAATAAAGCACAACAATCACATACATTTATATTGTATTAAGTCTGGCAAATAATACAGAGATGGTGTAGCTTACAGGAAGAGCTACATAGATTATACAAAAATACTACAGCATATTATTAAAGGAATCGAGCACTTTCATGGTTGGTAAACACTGGCATCCTGGAACCAAACACCCAAGTGACTACTGAAACTTTAACAATATTGTCTTTCAACTCAGTCAAGTCTTTCAACCCAAGGATATGAAATACCTTTCCATTTACTTATATATTCTGTGCTTATTTCAATGTTGTTTAACAATTCAGGTCACAGTTTTATATGTCTTCTGTTTCTCTTTAATTTTTTGGATGTATTTATTTTTATTTTATGTGTATGAGTGTATTGTCTGCATGTTTGTAAGGGCACCTCTGTCATGCCCACAGAAGCCAGAGAAGGACACAGGATCCCCTGGAATTGGAGTTATGGATGGTTGTTAGCCACCATGTGGGTTCTAGGACTCAAACCTGGGTCCTCTGCAAGAGCAGTCAGTGTTCTTAACTGCTGAGCCATCTCTCCAACCCATGATTTTTTTTTTCCCTTAATGAGACAGTCTCACTATGTTGCCTAGTCTGGCCCTAAACACCTGGGCTCAAGCAATTCTCTGGCCTCAGCCTCCCAAGTTATGTATAACAGTAAGCACAAGCCACAAACCCAGCATAGATATCTTAGATTAATTCATTACCATATATTTCAGCATTTATTTATTTATTTTTATTTTATGTGTAGAAATGTTTTGCCTGCATGTAAGTGCACCACATGCGTGCAGTACCCGTGGAAGCCAGAAGAGGATGATGGATCCCTTGAAACTGGAGTGCCCTTAACTGCTGAACCATCCCTCAGAGCCCTATTTCAGCATTTTAATGCAATTTATAAATTGAATTGTTTTCTTTGTAGGGGTGTATATGTGTGCATGTGTGCAGTGACATGTGTGCACATGTGTACATGTGTATGAGTGTACACATGTGTATAAAGGCCCAGAGATCAATCATAGTATCATTCCTCAAGAGCCATTCACCTTGTTTTTTGTTTTGATTTTTTGAGACAGAGTCTCTCACTGAGATGTAAGGTTCACCATTTAGCCAGGCTGGCTGGTCAGCTAACCCTAAGGATCCTCCTATCTCTCCTATCTCTGCCTCTCCAGTGCTGAGATTACAAGAGCTTAGCTTTTTACAAGGGTCTAGGGATCAAATTCAGGTCCTCACATACTTTCTGAGCTATCTCACCAGTCCCTGAATTGTTTTTCTCCTCTCTTTCACTCTCAAGAAAAATTCTCCCTGTAGTCCCAGCTGGCCTAGAACTTGCTCTGTAGACCAGAGTGGCCTCCGTCTCACAGATATATGCCTGCCTCTGTCTCCAGAGTGCTGAGATTATAACGCATATGCTACCACACCCAGTCCCTGAATTGCTTCCTTAACTTTTTAGATTGCTTACTGATAAGGTACAGAAATACATGTAATTTTGTTCATTGATCTTATGTCTTATGTAAAACTGGTTTCTTAGCTCTACTAATTTATTATGGACTACGTGGGATTTTCTGCATAAAAGGTAATGTCATCCTCAAAAAAGAGAGCATTTGACTTCTTTCCCAGTATAGATGATGTCTATTCTTTTGCTGCCTAATTGTTACAACTTCCAGTAAAATTTTGAACAGCGAGGGGAAGATCAGACAGTCAGTTATTTTTAGTGAGTTTTTATAGGGGTGAGAGGGTTGAGGCTCACTGTGTTTACTGTTTGGAATACAGATATCTAACTATCCAATCACCATTTGTTAAAACAATTATCATTTCTATACTAATTGCCTCTGCACCTTTGTCAAAAATCAACTGACCATACATGCGTGAGCCTATTTCTAGATCTCACCGATCCGTGCTGGTGTCCTCATCATCACCACTTTTCTTTAACTCTATAGTTTTCTGGTGAGTCATGTTACTGACTTTTAAAAAATATTTGCTCCATTTATATATATTTTTTAATTTAATGTGTATGAGTGTTTTGCATGCACAGAAGTGCACCAGTACATATAATGTTCACAGAAGTCAGAAGACAGTGTTGGGTCCCTGAAATTGAATTTACAGACAGTTGTTAGCTACCATGTGGGTGCTGGGAACTGAACTCAGGTCCTCTGCAAAAGCAGTCAGTGCTCTTAACTGCTAAGCCATCCCTCAGCCCTGCCCCCATTTATATTTGTAACAATATTTAAATACTTTTTAAATAATTTGAACTGAAGCAAATGTGGTCTTCATTGATAGCTTATTTCTGAAAGACATTCACGTTTAAAATAGCATGGTTCAGGATAAAGACAGAACTTTCAAAGAGTGTCTAATGGCAACTTCAGGGGCGGCAAAAAGGCAAGAGTGCCAGCTTCAGAGTTCTGAGATGATGGAGGCTCCCAAATCAGGGCATGGCTTTACCAAACACCATTCCTCATGGGAACATGCATCTGTTTTTATCACACTGTGGAATTAAGTTAAGATTTGGTATAAGTCACTTTTGTAAAACAGTGAGGCTGATAAGGAACTCAGGCAAACAAAGTTTTATCTCCCAATACCAGCAATTTCCAACTGCATTAAAGCTCGTAGAAGCAATTTACACCTACTGCTAGGATAATATTAGACAGCAGTTATAAGGTACACAAGATGCTTCAGGCTAGCCAATGAATCAGACAATAATGTTACATATATGCAACAGAGAACTGTGTAGAAAAGATGGGTAAGAGAACCCCATTATATTTTATATCTGTGATATAATAAAAGAAGAAATAGTCGAGTCATTCCAAGTGCTTATCACACTCTCAAGACTTACTAAGACAGAAGTGACTGAAAATTCAGTATAGATGACTGCACACATTGAAGTGACTCCAACATCAAAATGCCACGGCTGATGAAATTCAAGAGCTGTGTATGCTATACACATCTGTCGGCTAATAAACAAATATCTGGTGAGTTCCTTAGCCTAAGAGCATGTTGTGAGGAATGGTATTCCCATTTATCACAAAGCTTAGTCTAACATGCATGAAACAGGAATGATTAAGTGCTAATTGTCTAGAACTAAAGATAAGTACATGTGGGAACAATTATTTGGAAATGGGCTCATAGACCACATGGGGGTTGACCTACTTAGATAAAGGGCTGGGGAGCAGGGAAATTTTAGGCATGAAGGAGAATATAAAGGAACGGGGTGGCAGGGATGCCATTGTGGGAGCAGACAGATTCCACAAATGACGTGTAGCACAGGCAGTGGGAAGATGAATGTATTTCCATTTTAGGAGTACTTTCTTTGTGATACTGTGTAGCCCAGGCTGGCCTCTAACTCAAGTTCTGCCTGTTTCAACCTCCCTAGTACTGGATTACAAGTATGCCCTATTATGCCTGGCCTAGAAGAAAAAGTCTAGAAACTAGGGAAAATTCTTCAGCAAGGAAACAGTACAGATGTTAAATTTTAGTGGTAAGTAGATCTGGGAATGTGGCTTAATGGTAGAGCATTGTATAACCAGAACTCAGGGGGATTTAAAAAAAAAAAAAGACAGAAAAAAAACATGGTATACAGCTAGGCATGATGGCTCGCATCTTTAATCCCAGCACTTGGAAAGTAGAGGCAAGTGGGTCTCTATGGATCAAGGCCAGCCTGGTCTATAGAGTGAGTTGCAGACCAGCTGGGGCTACAGAAAGACCCTGTCTCAAAAAC